ACTAGAAATGTCATTTAAGAAAATAATAATAATAATAATAATAATAATATTAATAATAATAATAATAATAAACTACATGTATCTTTTATATAGCGCTAATTCCTTTAGTTCAACAGGGCTTTACAAACATTAAAGAATCAAAAATGTTTTAAAATTTAATGCTATCCTAATGATGTAAGATATAAAAATACATAAATATTCTGAAAAAACATGATTTTAAAAACATTACAAAAACATTTTTTTAAAAGGAAGTTATGAATATTACTATAAATGACAGCAACTTTTCTAGCCTTAACATTTGTTTTCTGTATACTACTAGAAATGTCATTTAAGAAAAGTAAGGTATGATAATTACTAGAAATGACAGCAACTTTTCTAGCCTTGACACTTATTTCTGTATATTTGATATTGAAGTTATGCTGTTGACCTGGTAGTGTGCTGTGCCCTGGGAGCAGACATGTATGACTGTGTTTACCCAACTAGGACAGCTGTAAGTAGCAATGCAACACTCTAGGAGAATTGAAGAGGGTTAAAACTCCAGTGCATACAGGCTTAGCCTTGAATCCAGRAGTTGCTTGTTTTGTTATTCTAATTTCTTTTGTTTACCGACCTCAAAAGCAAAGCTAAGCCTGCATACACTAGAATCTTGAGAATTGTCAATAGAGTATAGTCTAAACATTCTTCATTTATATGCAAATTAAGTTAGGAAGTTTGAATTTTTCCCTAAAAGGTGGCAACTAATTATTCCCAACCAGGTGATCAAAACAAAAGAATTCCCTTTTGTTGAGGATTGAAATCTTTAATTTTGATATTGATAGTTTTCATTGTTTTGAACCTTGGTAGAATTTGTGAAAGGGGTCTATCATGCAATTCATGGACTGTCGTTGAACCTACAAAAACTCAGTGTTCATTCATTTCAATTTGTCGATGTCAAAAAACTGTGTTTTTTATTTTCTTCTTCTTCTTATTTGTTGTTGTTGTACTTTTGTTAGGGCCAGTCAGTGTTCATTCATTTTCAGTTTGTTCAAAAAACTAGGTTTTCTTTTAATTTTTATTTGTTGTTGTTGTTGTTGTACTTTTGTTGGGGCCAGTTATTGTTCGTTCATTTTCAGTTTCTTGATGTAAAAGAACTGTTTTTTTCTTTTCCTGTTTATTCTTGTACAGAGATTTGGCACAGCACTTGTTCCATGGGGCCAGCTTCACCTCAAAAATAAACAGTATGGGAATGACTTAAAACCAATTGATGATAAATGTTCTTGTTATACTTGCAAGAAGCACTCTAGAGCATATCTGAACTCATTGATAGGGAAGGAATCAGTGGCTTGTCATCTTATTACGATTCATAATATTTATTATCAGGTAAATATTGTAAAATGTAAAAGTGGTAGTTTAGTATTGATGGCATGCAAAGGATCTGGGAGAAGAGAAAACAGAATTATGGCACATGTTTAAGTATAATGATGAAGAATAATGCTAGAAACGGTTAAGATCAATGATAGGATAAAAGATTGTTTTTGGTTGATTAAATGATTGATTGGTTGAATGAACAAATGAATAAATGAATAAACAAATGAGCTAATGAACAGTAAAAATGATCATTTATCTATTTGTTTATTCATTCATTTATTCATTCATTTGTTCATTCATTATCTTTATCATCTTATTCTTACATTTTTTTAACCCCTGTTTTTCAGCAACTCTTTCTTTGTTAGGATTCTAAATAAATTTTATAATTCTTTCTTTGCAGATGCAGTTAATGCATGATATAAGAGAAAGCATCAAACAAGACAAATTCCCAGAATTTATCCGAAAGTTTATGTCCAAAATGTATCCAAAAAGTGACTATCCTTTATGGGCCATTGAATCTCTTAAATCTGTCAATGTAGAACTAGAATATGGCCCAGAAAATGAAACTAAACAGGACAAAATAAGCTAAKAATAATAATAAATGATTTCCTTCTGCTACATATCATTCATGCATAAAATAATGAGTAAATAAATATAACTCTTTTTGCCTCTTTTGTACAATTTATTTAAATAATGAAACAGTTACTGTTTCATTAGAAACACCGACGCAGCTCACACTAGTTTTTAGCTAGTTATATCTT